GGCAAACGTTATGTTATGCTTGACTATTTTTCTGAATAAGTTGCAAGGAAAAGTGGAGCAAAGATCTCAAGTAACTCAGACCAAACTCTTAAGGACTAAGCAGATACTGATACTTTGCCTCTTAAGTCTTAACTAGTCACCAGCCATGTTTAGCTACAACCACAAACAAGCTTCGGATGATGATGATGATACTGATACTTTGCCTCTTAAGTCTTAAAACTAGTCAGCAGTAATGATTAGTAAATAGCTTCAGAAAGCATATTACTTGATAATGTCTAAAAATTCTTACTCAGTATCACCAAAATCCTTGATTTCCACAAGACTACCACCCGAAGAATCACTAGCTTTCTTTAGTGTATCTCCTACCATAATGATCCTTGCCTTCTCCGCATTACTCTACAAAAAACCCGATTTCACTGTTCAAAACTATGGAATTGCTAGACCTAAACAAGGCTTGATAGCAAGAATTCAGTACCCCTTTTTTGATGGCGTGGACGAAGATCTTGCCATCTGCTGATAATGCGAAGCGAATCCCGAGGGGTTTTTCGAGAGTGACCATATACTCGTTCAAATTCATCTTAAACGTAGATGATGAAGACGCAAAAACTCTAAGAACCAGTCTTCTTCTGTTGAATCTGATATTTCCCCTCGAAGCGAAGTGTGTGATTCCTCTCCCGTCGAATTCACGGCCATTCCCGCTCCGGAACGGCGATACCGCCGCGGATCCGATCAAAACCGACGGAGATGATCGTTCGAGGGCTCCGAAACCGGAGATTTGATGAAGGAACGCCATTAATAATTGATCAGAGAGATTTTGGTGTAGAGATGTGTTATGGAACTTGGAGACCGAGAGCAGAAAACGAGGCGGCAGAGGAAGAAGATGAAAAGGGGGTGAGAAACAAGTGGTCCACGTGGCTTCACGTGGGTCCCGCTTTCTCTCTTTCCTTTTATCAAAACATGACACGTGTAGTAACCTTTTAGGAAAAAAACAGAAGCAAATAAAATATTTAATTCCCCCGTCATAATGTCAATTGAGTCAACGTATTGAATTGGACTTTAATAACACTTGATAACACCAAACAAAGTTACATGGAAATAGTTGCTATATTTATACAAAAATTAAAAGTGATTAATGACGTAATCTTCGCATCACGGCGAACACTCCGATCAAATCTTGCCGGTAGGGCAAATAAGACGTTCTTCGCTTATCTCCTTCTCCGATGATCGGCGGCTTATACGACGCCGTTTTATCTCTCCCTTTCACGGCCGGCGAGCTAGAACTCTTGCTTCCGTTGCTGTGACTCCTTCTCATAAAACCCTTGAAAGAGCAACCTTTCGATACGGCACCGTCGCTATGGCTTCTCGTCAGAAAATTCTTTAAACGGCGCCGTTTCGATATCTTCGAAGTCGCCGGCGAACAGAGTGGACTCCATAGGCAGTTGCTTGAGAAGTCCTCAAACTCTTCTAATTCCGGCCACGAAGGAGAAGGCGAAGTACTCTTCCATGCAGCGGAGGCTGCCACGTCATTGTCTTTCTTTTTGCTCACCAAAACGGCGTCGATTGCGAACGTCGGGAAGTGGACGAAAGTCTCTTCGTGTAACGGCGACGTTTCGAACTCGAAGTCAAGGACTTCGTCCATGTCGGAATGTTGATTATTGTAGCTATGGATTTCGCGGGAAACTTTAACGGCGGCGGCGAACTCATCGGAAGCGTAGCAACTGAAGCTTGGACTATACGTCACCGTCGAGGAAAACGCATGCATTTTTTTGACTTTCTCCATTCCTCGTAATCGTGTCTCTGTAACTTGATGAGTCTCTATGCCAATGTGTGTG